ACTCGCTGGATTTACCAGGATTGCCACCTCATAATCTTCAATTAAAGGTTGGATCGGTAGTTATAGTGTTGAGAAATATCAACCAATCGCATCTTTGCAACAGCACACGGTTAGCGATAAAAAAATTATTGAACAACGTGATAGAAGCGAGTATACTGAAAGGAAAGTATAAGTGAGAAGACGTTTAGATACCAATGATTCCGACTAATGTACCATTTGAATTTAAATGAGTTACAATTTTCAGTGCGGCTTGCTTTTGCTATGACCATAAATAAGTCCCAAGGGCAATTATTAGGTGTTTGTTGTATTATTCTAGAAAACCCATGTTTCTTACATGGTCAATTGTATGTTGCCTGTTCTTGTGTTGGAAAACCATCAGATTTGTTTGTATATTCACCAAGTAATCAAACAAAACATTGTATATCATAAAGCACTACAATAAAAATAAAACAGATTTTTGTTACTAATTATAATTCACTTGATTTACAATAAAGCGATTACTGAAAATACTTGTGTACGTTTTATTTCATTATTCTTTAGTACATCGGGTATTAACCCTATGTTAATAATAATAACAATGAATACTTAATTATCTCTATGTTTTGTCATTGAAGCACCCATTTTATAAATATTTGTCACATTTAGGTTCCCACTATGCCTTTAGATTATTTTTCAATCAGGTTTGAACCTTAAGTTCTCTCTTAAGTCTATGTTAGACTATAACATAAAATGATATAAGAAAATGGTATACTAAGTTTTGTCATAATGTAAAACAGAAAACCAAATCTGTTAACAAAAAATGGTATAGAAATTAGAACATGTCCTATTTTGATACCAACTATTAGTAGGGGAGAAGGGGGTTACTGTGGACCATTTTTACTTATTAGCAAATTAAAAAATATGTATAAGATTCTTATTGCTGAACTTACCTCACATATTTACTGTAAACATCAACTCAACTTTCGATGTGAATATTTTATTTGTATCTTTCTTAATAGAACAAATATTTTGATTCAAATCGGAATCAATAATTTGTCCACAATGACCCCGTGGTGGGGTTAAAGTGGACAGAGTATGGGGTTATAGTGGACGCATAGTAAAACATATACAGGAATACTGAAAACTTTATGTTAACAAAAAGAAACTACAATACATTATAAGAACTGAAATTAATATTAAATGAAAATAATCTTCCTTGCCTTTTCGTGCCAGTGTCTACTGGGTGCTCCAAAATTCCGACAATATCGTTCTTGTCGACAACTGAGACATTTTCAACTTCGGGAAATACGAAATTATTCACTTTTTTCCTTAAAAAATTAATTTGTACCTCCACATCTCGAATATCTACGATTTGGCCAACATAGTGAGTTACCGATTTTTTACCCATAAATTTTACAAGTACGAAATCATTTTTCTCCATTTGTTTGTCCATAAAAATATCGTTGTCCTGACCATCGTCTTCCATCCAGCCTTCATCCTCTGATTCAAGTATTACTTCTGTAGAAGAATTGGAAGAGGAAGATTCTTTCCTACTCCTTTTTGGTTCATAGGAAAGAGATTTCTTCACTCTATTCTTTTCTCGCATTTCAGCTCTTTCTTGCGCACGTCTTTCCTTCAAATCTTTAGCCTCTTTTTCAGCTTCCAACTGATCTTTCACTGGTGTGCTCGTGTAAATAGTCGACTTTTAATTTTTTCTTACTTTGGAGTTTGATGAGTGATCTGCTTTTAGAAAAGGGCGGCAGCTCTTAGGAGTAATTACAGCTGTTGATGTAGTTGCTACTGATGGTGAAAGCGTAATGGGAGCTACAGGCAGCAGTCTTGTGGAGATTGAAGCAACTTCTAATATTCGCTCAGGATCTTCAGGATTTCTTGTGTTCATTGCTGTTGGTGGTTCTTGATTCCTATCTGTTGTTTCAGCAGCTTCATAATCCTCATCGGTGAATACAAGACGGTTTATTGGCCATAAACCAGCAGATCTGAATCCAGATGTTATATTCTTCATTGTAAATGCCACAGGAAAAGCAATACCACACAGTTGAGCAACATCATATATTTGTATAGGTCTGCCTGGATGATTTTGAAGCCAGTCTCCTATTACAACCCGTAATGCAGCTTTATAAGGACCATATACTGCAACATCTAGCGGCTGTAGTTTGTGGCTACAATGTGGCGGAAACGATAAAAGAGTAATTCCAGATTCTCTAGCTAAGTTTATAGCTTCCAAACTTATATGACTTGAATGATTATCCATTAATATCAGTAGAGGGTTTTCTTTAGAAGCACTTAAGTGCATTTTTATGTGCTTTAGTACTTCTAAAAATAATTCAGCAGTCATATAGCCAGACTGATGAGCCAGACCAATGCTCCCTATTGGTGCACCATCTAAGAACCGGTCTTTCATATTCTTCCTGGGGAATATGAAAACTGGAGGTATTGCTTGTCCAGTGGCTGTTATAATTCCGCACATTGTAACATTTTCACCACGTACTTGAGAGGCCACAGCTCCTATTTGTTTTTTTCCCTTTTCAGCTATACGTTTGGGTGGTGGTAAGACCGTGGGTATACCTGTCTCATCTAAATTTATTATCCTTTCTGGCCTTCCTTTAAATTTATCTAAAACTCCAATGTAATTATCAAAAAATAAATCCACGTTGGATTTGTTAAAGGCTGCATCTCAAGGTCAAGAGATAAATCACCATGTCGTTTCATAAATGAATATATCCAGTCCTTTCCTGCTATCTTATTTTTAGTCCAATTCGAAGGAATTTCTATTTGTAGAGCACTACCATACTCAAAAGCTAAGGTACAAGCCTGCTTGTAAGTCAAGCCATAATGTAATCGAGACGCCTTCTTAAGATAATTGACAATGTGTTGTTCTTGTTCATCAGAAAATATTTGGCGACCTCGAAATTTATTGACGCCAGAAACATTCAAGCTAACAATTTCTAACTCATCTTCGTTACCTGAATCATCACCAGAGGGTATATTAGCATCTTGAAGGTTCCTCTTAGCCGAAATGACTCTTTTGTGAAGCATACTTTTTTTCAATTCATATTTCTCTGCAATTTTTCTCTGCAAGCTTCCTTTTTTCTTAGGATATCCTTTATTGCACGCTCTACAACTTTTTTTTGTTCTCGCCGTTTTTCTACTGTAAGTCCTCATCTGAAACAAAAAAGCGATTTTTATCACATGATTTTTGGAAATATAATCATTTGTGGGGTTAGTGTGGACAGCTGATGATTTGTCCACACTAACCCCGAACGCCATGTTTGACAGTAACAATGGAATGACGTTTCGAAAAATGATAATTTTATCTCATTCCATATCAAATGTAGTAATTAAATATTCCAGAAGCCATACACTAACCTAGGTATACAATTAGTTCAATAACTTCAATTTTAGTATAATTTTACTTACCGTGTGAAATAAATGAATACAACACACAAAATCACTTTCTGTCACTGGCGGCCATATTATAGAAAATATTTTAACCAACTTTTACGTGGTGTTCGGTGGCGTTAATAGTCACTTCCTGAACAGACTGGGCGGCAGATTTAAATGCGAGTTTTTAAATAATTAACTATGTCCACACTAACCCCATGTCCACACTAACCCCCCTCTCCCCTACACACGCATGCGCAGTTACAATTTTGTATCCTGTTTGGTAATATCTTTTCTCTTCTCGAATCAGTTCAAGAAGTTCATTCAATTGTGGCTTACACATTCTTAAATATTGTCTATATTTTTTAGGTTCATTGTCTTTTAATTCAGTTTACAACATACTTAAAACACCACTACCTTCCTGTCTTTTTTGAAGCCAAGCTCTAGACCACATATTTCGTTGGCGTTTTTTCTTGTTTGTCTGAATTAAAAGAAATGTTGTAATGGAAGCAGCAGATAATAGGAGAATTTTCTTATCCATCATAAATATATATACCTATGTCTTTGTTAAAGCAAAAGTAAAACGATGGTAGAACTAACTAGGTATTTACGTGGATAAAAAACTAGGTTAAATGTTGAAGAAAATGAGTTTACGTTACAATAACAAAAAGAACAATATGAACATTGAGGTTAAAAGTACATGTACACCAACATAATAATTTTAAAAAAGGACTGTTTAGCATGTAATGCGCAGAATCACATAACATATTTTGATACCAAAATGTGACAATGTAATAGACAAAACTTCTTGTACTAATATTGTACACAATCATTTTATGTAAATTTTTGTTATAACATTGTCTTATATCATTTTATGTTATAGTCTAAAACAGACTTTAGTTTGAAGCCCTCTGGCGGACATCCCAGTCGGGGTTGTTAATGGGTCCAAAAGGGTGGTCAAACTTCGTGGTAATGAAGATACTTAGGTCACCCGAGGTGAACCTCACACACCGCCCTATCATCATGGTGACGGTTCTGGTAAAGAGAATCAAAGAAATAAACTGGCACATTCCAAATCTATTTGACAGAACAACGTCTGACGGGTCCGCTAGTTTAAGATAAAAAAGCATGTGGAGCGGTTTTGATCTTTGTCCAACATTGATTTTTCAAAGATAAATTGATAAGTAGATATTAGGTTTATATTTACCTAGAGTTTCAGTTTCGTTTTAGAAAATATAATTTTCTTAGCATTATTTTTATTGTTTATTTTAAGATTTTCCTTCAATATTAATAATTAGGTAATATTATATATTTATTAAATCCGTTATTGTGCCGACAACAATGAATTATATTTTTTTATTTTTCATATTATCAGCGATCTAATTTAATTTAAAACTCTAACACTGAACAAAAATGTATGTTCTTCGGATCTGCTATTATTCTCAAAATCGATGTTCTAACATTTATATTAAACATCAATAAAATAGACTACTATATAACCAATAGTTATGTATACCAAAAGTAAAAAGATATGTTTTCAGATACAATAATTTCAAAACAGGTAGATACTAGCTAAAAAGAATACACAAAATTCTAAACAACTAATAATAAAAAACCGTTTAACAAATGCAGTTATTTATTAAATAAAAACAAACCGTATCTACTTAAACTAATAATACTTCATTTAGGCTAACATAACACAAAATTATTTAAACATCTAAGAATATATCCTCTAGAGCAACTCTTGAAAACACCCTGTTTCCCAAGCCCTGAAAGATGAGTCCAAAACTCTTTTCATATCCATCTCGAACATCAGTGAATAACTCGCTCCAGTTATCATTTAAAACCGATAAGATTTGATCGCCAAGTTTTTTATCCCCATTAAAGAGATTTTCAAATTCGTAGATCATTTTCTCTGGTCGTAACGTTACTGTGTAATTGTAAAAATGCCAGTATTCTTTTCCTTTTTTCTCAACAGACTCTGCATAGATGGTGTGATTGATATGGGTATTTACTAAAACATAAACGTCTTTTGATAAAATATACAGTCAACAATAAATTTAAAATCTAATACAATCAAAGCATCTCAATTTAATAATACATAACAAATATTGTTCGACACAACGATAGGATCTAATCTTTGTGTAAAATAAAAACAATAAAGTGTATCCGAGAATACTTTACAAAAACATCACTGAAAACAATATCACTCATTACGTACAGACACATCTACGGATAATGTTTTCAAATCACGATTAAAATTATTGTAATTTTTTTCTTTTGTGAATATGTTATTCTAGTGTATATTTATTGTTCATTCAATATCGTCGGTGCAATGCCACACCCACGAATGTGCAAAATGAGCGTTAGCAGATATTCGACTTTTAATCTTTCAATTAGTTGCTAAAATTCAGGATTTAATGTGACATTTTTTTGTACTTTTATTAACATATGGTATAGTTTTGCTCTGAAGCTATTTTCTTGTGGCATTTTAAATTAATTACTATTTAACTGGGAATAAGCCACAATTAAAGATAAAAATACGTTTATTGACGTTTCAATTTCTACTTCGGAAATCGTTCTCAAAATACAAACAGTAAATTAAACAAATTTTGTTTTTTGTTACTTAGTGAAAAATTCTTCTCATAATTTCATTTTAACTGACTCATTTATATTGACAATTCAGACATACATTATGCATTTTAAAGTAGACGACTTTAAAATGATATTGCCAATATTGTTGAGTTGTACTCCTGGGACGACTTTACTTATAAGATAGTTCATTCGATTACATGAAATCAACTTTAACTTGAGAATATCCGTCAGAAAAAATCATAGCATATAATTCGTCTTTAAAAAGACAAACACATGACATAATGACAGTAAAATTCTCCTGTTAGTGATTCCATAGTAAATTATGAGGGAAAAACCAGGAAAAAAACCTCATAATACTATCCCGACATGGTAAGTATTTGTTCGTGCATTTAGTTTACCTGCAATAAAAACCAAAATTCTGATTTTATATGTTTCGTTATTTAAAAAACATAAATGATGTATCCTCTATATGTTATTGACTTACTAATACTGGTATTTTCTTATTAATAACTTTCTCTTTCAATATTGGTAACCAGATCCTACTACATTATGCGGAGGAATTTGCGACACAATTGGCCTCATTTAGCATAATTAAAACCGCTTCCTTGATTTTTCTTTTTTTACCATCCGTCTCTTTTAGGACTACGTTTGAATTATTCCATTGAACCGTATGTTCATTATCCCATGCGTGTTTACATATTTGAGATCTATCAAATTCTCTATTTTTAATATACGACTGATGTTCACTTATTCTAACATTTAATGGCCTTGATGTTTCACCTAAATAAAACTGATCGCATTCACAGGATATTTTATAAATGCAATTCTTTGTCCTTTCTTGTTCATTGTTAGGTTTGGTTTTGGACAAAATAGATCTCAACGTGTTTGTTGTTTTGAATGTTGTTGAAATGATGAATTTATTGCCTATCCTTTTTTTTTGCCTAAGTTTTTCTGATATCCCTTTTATGTACGGTATTGTTATTTTCCTCGTATTATTCCTTGTGTATGCTGTAGGATCTCGTTCTAAAATGTTCTGTTCTATTCGATCGATTGTTGAAAATTCCTTATTTATAAAATAAGTAATATAATTAGTTATATTATACTATAGAGCCAAAATTACTTGTTCTAACGAAAATTCGTTCTTGGAGGAGAAACATTTGTTAACATCTGTTTTATTAAAAAATGATTATCCTTTATCGTTTCAACAATCGATCGAATAGAACAGAACATTTTAGAACGAGATCCTACAGCATACACAAGGAATAATACGAGAAAAATAACAATACCGTACATAAAAGGATTATCAGAAAAACTTAAAAGGGTAGGCAATAAATTCAACATTTCAACAACATTCAAAACAACAAACACGTCGAGATCTATTTTGTCCAAAACCCAACCTAACAATGAACAAGAAAGGACAAAGAATTGCATTTATAAAATACCTTGTGAATGCGATCAGTTTTATTTAAGTGAAACATCAAGGCCATTAAATGTTAGAATAAGCGAACATCAGTCTTATATTAAAAATAGAGAATTTGATAGATCTCAAATATGTAAACACGCATGGGATAATGAACATAGGGTTCAATGGAATAATTCAAATGTAGTCCTAAAAGAGACGGATGGTAAAAAAAGAAAAATCAAAGAAGCGGCTTTAATTATGCTAAATGAGGACAATTGTGTCGCAAATTAATCGGCAGAATGTAGTAGGATCTGGTTACCAATATTGAAAGAGGAAGTTATTAATAAGAAAATACCAGTATTAGTAAGTCAGTTACATATAGAGGATACATCATGTATGTTTTTTAAATAACGAAACATATAAAATCAGAATTTTGGTGTTTATTGAAGGTAAACTAAATGCACGAACAAATACTTACCATGTCGGGATAGTATTATGAGGTTTTTTTCCTGGTTTTTTCCTCATAATTTACTATGGAATCACTAACAGGAGAATTTTATTGTCATCATGTCATGTGTTTGTCTATGATTTTTTCTGACGTATATTCTCAAGTTAAAGTTGATTTCATGTAATCGAATGAACTATCTTATAGGTAAAGTCGTCCCAGGAGCGCAACTCAACAATATTGGCAATATCATTTTAAAGCCGTCTACTTTAAAATGCATAATGTATGTCTGATTTGTCAATATAAATGAGTCAGATAAAATTAAATTATGAGAAGAATTTTTCACTATGTAACAAAAAACAAAATTTGTTTAATTTACTGTTTGTATTTTGAGAACGATTTCGAAAGTGGAAATTGAAACGTCAATAAACGTATTTTTATCTTTAATTGTGGCTTATTCCCAGTTAAATATTAATTAATATGGTATAGTTATATTTTAGAAATATTATCAGGAATTTATGAAAATATCCATCATTTTTCGAAAAAAGTTAAATTCGTGACTGTGGCATTGTAAATTTTGTAATAAAATGCATATACGTGAAATTATATAAACTTTTATTATGGTAAACTGAAACAAAAAAAAACTTTCTAAGATTAAAAACTACAAAAATAGAAATACTAATATAGTAAAACACTTAAATCATGTTTAAGAATAATTTAATTTTCCTCGTTCGCCAATCCTCGCCTTCATTTGGCTCCGGCAAATTTTCTCTTATATTTTTATTGGTAGTGACAGAATTATAAAAGTTAGAACAGTTCTTTGAAATTGTTAAATCATTACACATTCCCTGCAGATCTTTATATTTAGCAATCGCAATTGGCAACTGCTTAACATAAGCTTTGTTTAAGGCAACATTTTTGGGTCGCCCGCGAATTTTCATGCTGTTTACTTATTGAAATTTAGAGTTGTAAGCAATACTTCGAGGTCAAAGTTAAAGAATAGTACCTCTGAATTGTTTGTTACAATTTTTTTTGTCTTTGTCTCGAGCCTCACGAGCTAATTGTTTCCTTAACACGTGTTTGTGATGAGCCTGTGTTTTTTCCTCCTCTGTCATATTTGTATATTTTAAGCATTTTTTACTGCTCCTTTTTGGTTTTATGGAAACCCAACTTATAAGTTTTTGACACTCGTCGATATTTTTGCAAAGAAACTGGATGGACATTTAATTCTGAGCACTTTGATTTGTACAATTTGTGCATAATAGAGATGTAATTACTATTTAAATGGAAATAAGCTACAATTAAAGGTAAAAATACGTTTATTGGCGTTTCAATCTACACTTAGGAAATCGTTCTCAAAATACCGATTTCCGAACTACACCGCCACAAACACGAAAGTGTCACTTTCGCGATGCACGCATTGCAAATGAAAATACAGACTGACTTTCGTGAAAGTGCATATTTTCTCCCTAATATCTCCTAGCCTTTAATCACATTCGTGGTTGTGGCACAATACATGAATGACTGAGACATTATTGTTGGTGTAGGTGAAAAACGAAATCTTTTTTACATTCGTGGGCGTGGCATTGCACCGACAATATGATCATCTGTGACTACTAATAGCCCATGGAGGCTACTGACAGCCCATGGTCGCCGGTTGGGGTTTCTAGGCTCTAAAGTTTTACACGGTGTGAAGGCCAGCCACACTCATAACTCCTTAAAAAGTCAACGTTTTGTATCTAAAATAGTTACTTCCTAGTTTGTCATCTTTAAAGAGATCATTTTAGATCATGCATATTTTGCTTCTTTAACTATAGATTACCATTCCTTTGCTTATTTTTTCCATTCCTGTATTCCTAGTTCTTCTAAATCCTGGTTAATACCATCAATTCATTTTTTTTTAGGCCTACCCCTCGGTCTCTTTTTTAATTTTGTTGTAAGTACTAGTTTTGTATTGTTCTTATCATCCATTATTTCTACGTATCCCAACCAAATCAGTCGTTTCCTTCGTATTTCTTTTGTGATAGGCGGTCTATTAAATATTCTATTTATTTCGTGGTTCATTCTTATACGACATTCCCCATTCTCCTGTATAGGTCCATATATTTTTCTTAAATTTTTCTTTCTCATCTAAACAATTGCTCCTCTTATTCATTAGTCTAAGTCCATGTTTCTAATGCAGAAGTTACTACGGGTCTTTACGTAAATAGATACTAATTTTGACTTTATAATCTGTAGGCATAGAAGTATTTGTTTCCAAGTGAAATTCTCGCTGTTAGAGTTAATGGATTTTGGGAACAGCTATGACCTTGAAAATGCCACAAAGAATATAACTAAATCTTTTTTCTTACCCAGACTCTTTAAAGTCTTTTACAATATTTTAGAATCGAAGATATGTAATTATATTATTAATGTATTGGATTTTAACAAGAGCTATGCATTATGCCTATTTAGTACACAAGTTTATGTGAAATGTTCAAGGTCATAGCTGTTCCCAAAATCCATTACCTCTACCTCATTACTGTTTTTATATCCTTCTTAACTATTGATCTTAAATATTTAAAATTAGCTA